CGTGTGCGTGTGTGTGTGTTTGGGCACACACACACACACACACACACACAACAATATACTAATATAGAACAGAATAGTTTTAATACGCACCAGGTAATGAGACAGTGGCACTTCTAGGAGATCGTTTCAGTAATTTACAGTTATAGCTGTACGAAGCATCCACCAAAGCCAGTTCATCTGGGCTCTCTGCTTCAAAGATTGGTCGGAGTTCGCCAGGCGATGGCGTCACAGATTTATGGGACATGTTCTGGGGGTTCTGAGGGGATTTCTTAGATCCAGCTACCAAAAGCAAAGATGGCACATGGAGGAGTTTGGGTCGAATTGTACGAGGTGGTGGAGGAGGCGAGTCTCCTGTAGGAGTGCTTTCAGTGGAAGAGGCGATGGGGGAAAGAGATGGAGGAACAAGCTGCCCTCTGGTAGTTGCTGCAAGTGGAGGGGGAGGAGATGGGGTCACAGACCTAGACTCAGTCAGCCTGGAATACTTGTCGGGTTTGCTCTGTCCAGCAATGGATATGCTTTGCGATGGCAGCACTGGTTCACTCAGAGCGCTGCTTGTGACAATAGGAGGCATTGTCTGGCTTGACTGGTTATCAAGAGCACAGCTCACCGATTCAATGACACCACTCGCGTTCATCTGTGAAACATATTCTCAATTTATGAAATCCTTAAAAGGAGAAAATCTCTTCCAATTCCAACATATCTCAAAGTGGATCTTTTAAGACGATGACCCATTGTTCTGAATTCTTGCAACCTTGCAAAACACTTACATTCCATTTTCTGATTACAACAAATGCAATAATCTAGTTTGAGAAAACTCAGCATTAATACCAGCTAGTGTCTAAAGAAATACGTCAAGCTAACGCAGTAATGGTTGTGGAGGTCTTTCTGAAATTTGCCAGGTGTGTCATTACATTATTTTGACAAATATATATAAAATCCACAGCACAACTGTAGGTGGGTTTTTTCCTACTCCTAGTTGGAAACCACTGGAGTAGTACTCCAAAAAAGTGAAGTTATTCATATTAAAATTTTTAAATATAATAAACCCATTGATAGAGAAAAATTAGATTTAAAAATATACCATATCATGATGTGGATGTCTTGCAACTACAACAGTATTACACACAGCTAGAAGTAAAAGAAATTCTTGAATTTTTTGAGCATGAACTTGTCCTCTCAGTTCAGAGCCTAATTGACCTAGCTCTTCCTGCATCCTCGGGTTGACTAACAATGGCATTGGAGCACCGGGTTTTAATCTCAGACTCTGAAAATAAAAAATAAAAAGTCTATAAAAAAAAAGAGAAAGAAAAGGGAAAAAAAGAAAAGAAAAGAAAAAATACCCACTTCAGCATTTTCGGGGGGTGGATGGTTATAATCAATTCCATTAATGGAACACCGTCGGAAAATCATTTTATTCTCCGTTAATGTTCCAGTCTTATCAGAAAAAATGTATTGCACCTGCAACAAATATTCTTCTTTGAAGCACAAATATTTTTCAGAACTTTAATTGTGAGTACTCTTAGTTTCAACTTACCTGTCCCAGTTCTTCTGGAATATTCAGAGCTCTGCATTCAATTCGTTTGTTTGTTAGAGGGTCATACAAGTCTACATCATTATGTATGTGATATACTTGAATTAGTTTTGCCATTTCGAGGGTCACATACAAAGATAAGGGTATCATAACCTAAAAATAATACACATTTAACTTACAAATTGAAGCAAGACCACATAAATGAATGAGAATTGTCACGAGAAAAAAATATCTTACCTGTAGAATTATCACAAATGTCCAAAAGCTAAGCATGCCTTCATAATCAGGGTCATGGTATTCTGGGATAAAGATCGCAGTTGCATCGTAAGATGAAAGCCACAATTTGCATCCAACAGCACCAATGATGCACAAAACAATAAGGATGAGAACACACCAGATGACATCCAAATTCATTTGTCTCTCTAAACTGGAACGCTTATATCTTGGCCCACCATTATTTAACATTGCTTTTGTTTCATGACCTATAGAAAGAACAAACAAGAAACCATTAATACATTCACAATTTTATTTCTTCTTCTTGAAATACTGGTAGAGGCTTGTAACTAATTTGATTTATTGACCCTATTTCTGTCTGGTACGAGCACACCCAATGATAGAGTTGTCATGAAAAAGGATGTATGTACCAAATTTGCGTAAAACAGGAGTTTATGAGGTAAGCAATTTATGATCCATTGTGGACGCTCTAAGAAGTGTGTGTCAAGAGTACTCGATTGTAGAGTGCTGCGACTCTGCTAGATAGTGCCGAGGGATATCCCATTTCGCCTTACATCGAAGAGGATGGAAGTGCCGCTGTCAATTTTCAAGCATTTGTTATTAAAAGGAGACATAAAGCCCACGTTAATATGGTTGTACATTTGACCCATGATCTCAGAAACTATTCAACCTAGTGCTGTAAAATTTTAGGAGCAGCTTGGTGGAAATGTTTTAAGTAAATATGACCAGATGTACATCTTTTGAATAGTTTTTGTAATTTACAGTATATTTGAAGTAAAAATCAAAAGGTTTATATTATTTTCTCAGTATTTTATTCAGTATTCCTGAAGTGTGAAACTTACTTTACTTATTTTTGTAATATAAATTAATTATTACCTAATTGACCTCCTACAAAAAATAAAAATTATCACTTAAGTAGTTGGAGAGTAATGAGACAAATATATTCAAAACTGTCATTTTCCAGAAATCAGAATCACAAGTTAATCCTTCTATGAAAATCAGTCACCTCAACATGGTAACAAGTAAACCAAAAACATAAATAGTCACAGAAGGTAAAAGGTTTAATGCACAGAACATTAGATAATGAACTTTTTCTATCATTTATAGAAAAGCAGAGCCATCTAGAAAAATTCATTAAAAAGATAACATAAATGAGTAACATGTCATCAAAGTGACTGCCATTTTGACATATGCAAGTGAAGGAAGAAAACAACTAAAAATATGTTAAAAGAGTACAATATATTACATATCATTTTATTCAGGAAACTTTAAATACTTAGAAAATTATAAAACCTCTAAAACATAAAAAAATTAATTCAAATTTCCACTTTATGTCTCCCCTTAATTTGAGCGTTTGTTTTGATAGCACTGTGTTCTGAAGCAACTTATTTTGTTGTCTTAAGAAAAAGAATATATCTAGCAAAGTGGCATAGTAGTGACAATTATTATGAAAAATAAAATGTAGAATACGAAAGCTCCTTATAAACTTCTGATGAGGTTGAAAGAAGGAGGAAAGGTTTTATTGGATATAGTGCCGTTCATGAACCTAAAGAACCATGATTTTTACAAGAAAATATCTAGATCAAAATAAAATTGCTTGAAGCTTGTAAAACATATCCTGAATGTAAAATTATTCATAAATAAACAGTCTTATTTAGATTTTTCTTTCTGAAATGTTTCTGTCTTGCACCCTTTTCCGATTCAGCTCTTCAATTAAAGAAAAGTCATAACAATATTGATTGTTATATTTCTAAACATTATTGAAGACAACCAAGCGAGATGGAAAAAAATATTTTTTTTAAATTGTTAGTTAAGTATGATGTATTTCAACATTTACTTTAATTACTACCAACTTTCATTTCAAAAGTCAATATACTAAATTATAAAATGCAATATGTTTTTGTAGGGTTAAATATAGAAAGTAAATAAACTAGATACTCTATATACGAGTTATCTGCTTTTGAAAAAGTTTCTCACATTTTGTAATTTTCAGTGAAAGTATCTCATAGATGGTTTGGCAATTAAATTCTCATTTTTATGATGAAAAAATTAAAGCAGTGAATTAATGTTCTATAAGAATGGGACTAATCATTAAAGTAACCAGGGGAATTACTAGAACTAATTTGCCTTATTGTACCTAATCCTTTTAAAAACTCTGTATGCATGACCAATTTTATTTCTGATACTCAGAACTCCGATGATGTAATAACCATGAATTCATTGTCACAAGGGAGAATAAGTCAGGGCCATACAACTGCTATCACTACAGATGTCATTTTCAGAAAAGCTAAAGGAACCAGGCAGTTAGTCTTCAGCAGAAAGTTGCAAGGCAACTGAAGATTGCAGCACGACGGTTGGCATCTGCACACATTCCAACAATTTTTCAACAAGTGCTCTGACCAGTTGCATTCAAAGGAAGAAGAGAGGAGGTAGATTGAAAATCACAATGGGACCAATCTACTTAATTTTGAATAATAGTATAAATCCTGCATTTATGCATATCACAGTGAAGGGAGAATTACATAATATTTGTTTGGTATTTCTGTCACTTCTGCTGTAAAACTGAAGGTTTTTTAACCAGTAGAAATTAAACAAACCTCAATTCAGACATAAATATTCACTCTTTCCACAGCACTAATGACTGTATATGAGGTCAGGGTAGGATAGGGTGATGAACCTCACAAAATTTAGCACAAAGGTGGCATTTAGGCAAGTGGTTATTTTAAATATCACAAATCTGTGAAGTGGGGCAGCTGGTTTTACTTTCCTTATGTTCGAAGCAAATTTACACGCCTCAAAGTCTTCGTATTGACCCCCAATGAGTCACATACACTAACTGTAACGCTAGCGAAGATGCTATTACTAATCCACATTGATTGTGTTGGTTTTTCTTTTTCGCATACCAGTTACGTAGTATAGAGAAAGTACTGTAATGCTGCAGCGGAAAACTTTTGGACAGAAAAAAATTTCATAATGTGAGCAGGGGCATATTCAGCCAATAATTTCTTGGGTGGGTGGGAGGGAATATTTTTGTTAAATAATAAACATATTTGGTATTATATTGAATATTATTTTTGTACTGTAGATATGATACTAAACATTATTATTCTTTAAATAATTACAAAAGTCAAATTTAAATAAATTTTGCCAAATAAAGGAAGGAAAAGGAAAACCCTAGACCTTTTGGGAGGGGGGGGGGCATGTTAACCCTCCCACCTCCTGGATCTGCCAGTGAGAGTCCTCAATGCTAAAAAAATCGCTAATTGTTGCTTCTACACGTAGTAAATAACTTCTTCTAGCACGTTGGTTGGTACTTAATTTGTTTATAGTAAAATGTTCGTCAACAACACTAGCGGCTAAATCGTGAAAAGAGTTATCAGCAAAAGTAATATTCCCTGATCGATCGAGTCGATGTCGCGACTCCTTGGATTTAAATAGGATATTTTGATTTTTTGGGTGTACTTTACATGGACCCCAACGATAATCTCCAATTTTCTTAAAATGGGATCCAACTTTTTTCTATTATATTTTCTTTCGAATGGAGCAAAAATAAAGCTTATAAAAATTGCGGAGTTCCGATTTTCGTTGAATTACCTGAATTTTCGATAATATCAAAAGTTTCAATTCAATTTCAATTTTTTTTTCAATTTTCCTATGACTACAACACATAGATTTAAAAAAAGATTTTGTTTAATTTTTACTTTTCTTCCTTTATACTATAGCATGAGAGGATGGATTGGAATCAACTCAACAATATAATCTCGAATTTTCAGTCATAAAATCTGTGATTAAGGTTCTATTGAGTTGAAAATTTGCACGTCAATTTTCACGACACGTTTATGTCTATGAGCGATTTTCCAAAGATGGTTAATATTTGTGCAGATGGGGAGGAGATGGTGCATGTAATTTCGTACCCGAAAATCCGGATGTCTGTACGTGCATGCATAGTTCTATCAGTTTAGAAGCTTTTGAGCTGAAACATCAGGAATAATATCTCACATAAATATGTCAGGAGTAAGACCTAGTTATGGTGTTTTGGAAATCATTAATATACTTTAATTTTTGGGAGCAATTTACACAAAACTGTGACATTTTGATTTTTTGTTGAAAATGTCAGAAAATGTTTTCTTAAAGTGTTTTGCTCGAATAGAAGAAAGTGCTCTTAAAATTCCTATTGTCATTAAAATCCCTGAAATTTAGAAAATTGCAAAAAGTCTGTGTGATTCAAACACTTATAGGACACTCATTTTAGAAAGAAGTTTGAACTTTGTACTGAAGCAAATTTCGTGACTTTTACTTTTGATAGAAAAAGAGGTTGGGTATAGATTTAATGATTTTCTTTTAGTAAATTCAGACATTCAAAATCATTGCAATGTCTTTCACTGCGTTGTGCGTGGTACGGCCCGATATCACGCATGGTTCCATTCACCCCTCTCCTTTCGGAGGAGCAGGGCAAACCACCCAATAAAACGATACGGGGATGTCAGGTGTGAATCGCCCGAGTAATGAAAATATGGCCCGCAACCATATTAAAGGTTTTAGATGCGGCCCTTGAGGTCCTGAAAGTTGGACACCCATGGTGTAAACACTACATTTTTCAAAAACCGTAAAAAAAAATAATAATAAAAGAAGGAATGCTTATCTGTCGCCTTTTCTTCCTCATTACATTTCCTCTTCTAGAAAACACGAGTGTGAGGTAATTATTCGCGAAGCGAAAGTACATCGTTTTCGGAAGTCCGCAGGTGTGAAGATTTAGTGCGGGTATTGTATACGCGCACTGTCGGGCAATCGTCTGACACACACGCGCGCACGCACGCACACACACGCACGCGCGCGCGCGCACGCACACACACAGGCGCGCGCACACACACACACACACACACACCACACAAATAATAATAATAATAATAATAATAATAATAATAATAATAATAATAATAATAATAATAATAATCCACAGAATAAATCTTAATAGTGAAATACGTTTTTAAGTCAACGTGAACAGTAGGATTTCATAGTTCCCTATAACATACCATGTATAAAGCATGTGTAAAACTGCGAAAAAAGGATACATATGTTTTGGGGTCTCCAGACACCGTTACAGTCGTTTTTTAAACGTCAGTCAAACAGTGATGCACAGAAAAAACACGACGCCTTATATCCATTATGACTGATCGCCTGACTTTTCTATTATTTCAAACATCAGTTCCGCTGCCGATATATACAAATACATATGAGTTTATTTCTCCATGCAAGAGAAAAACATCTATCGATTTTTTTGAATTACAATAAATGCAGTTTTTTTAAAACGTAATCTGAAAGAAAAACAATTTTCAGGGTCCCAATTAAGCCTCATTGCCATCTGCTGGGCGTCCCTGCCGTACGCCTGCTTACAATACTAGCGCCTGAACTATTCAAAGTTTTTCTCCCACCAAAAGTATTATCGTACTAATCTGGCACGACTCGAAGGTCTACGATTTTGAAAATCATTCTTGAAATGTTGGGGGTACTTGACACGAAACCATTGGCACAATTTTAAAAGTTTTCTAAAAAAGTGCCTGCATTTTTAAAAAAAATTATTGTAAGAAAGAGGTGAAATACCACTTGTGAACGTGGCAAAGGTCCAATTTTCACTTCAAATTCTGAAAGTTGCACAACCATCAATAGTTTTTTTGGACGCCCCCTCCCCCGTACAACTACATTATTGCAAATAGATCTTACGAAGGCAAATTCAACTTAAAGAAAACAATCTCAATGTTATTAGATGTCAGTTGCGCGCGCGCGCGTGTGTGTATGTGTGTGTAAGTGTATGTATGTGTGTATGTGTGTATGTGTATGTGTGTAGTGTGTGTGTTTGTGTGCGATTGTGTTTGAGCGCGTGTGCTCTTCCCGATGACCAGTCTGTATGCCGGCCGAAGCTGCTGTTGCCGTCGTTGAGATGTCCTGGGTTGTTACTAATTACCTGATGTATTTCTCTAGGGCCCAGTTGCCTGGAGGGTGCCTAAATTTGGGCTTTTGACTTGAAGGCGACAGAGTGTAGGCTATTGTTTTCTGTCTGAAGTTACCTTGAACAGACAAATTAAACATTGCCTTGGGGGTTTGGACATATCAGACGATTTCAATTTTCCCGAAAAAACGTTTACTGTCATTCAAATTTAATGTTATTGTGAATTAATTGTCATCAAATTAATAATTTATTTGTTATGATTTTAGGCTACAGAAGACATCATCGGTTCTAGATGCGCACTCCCGCGATACTTTTGGATGATGATCCCTTTATTTAATACACCTCTATCCTAGAAATCTGTTGAAAAAGAAAATTCAGAACGTGATTAGAAAATGTGAGCTACGTCAAGAGCAATCGCTGAACCCTGAAGAAAGGCGATCCTACTTCAACGCGAGTTCCAGTTTTCGTGCATTGCGGCCTTTCCGAAGCTGTTGTGCGTGCCGTAATGTATCGGGTGCGCAAAAAGCTCGGGGCGCACCTGCCCTCGCTTCCTGCCCATTTGCATAGCGGCCCGCGCCGCGCCGCGCGCGCGCGCGCGCCGCGCCGCGCCGCGCCGCCCGCGCCGGCGCGAATGTGGGTCAACGCGCCGCCGCAGACGGACGCGCCCCCCGCGAGGGCGCTGCCGCCTCCGCCTCCACAGGCCGGGCCGCCTGTGCCTTGCGCCTCGGAAAGACGTAGCTTCGTAGAAAAGAATAATAAAATGCGTTTTCAAAAAAAAAAAGTATTGTGACGTGTGGAAGTTGTGAAATATTTTTTTTTAATTAAAGAGAGATACATCAAGAATTACTAACACCCAGGCAATCTCAACGAAGGCAACAGCAGCTTCGGCCGACATAGAAACGGGTCATCGGGAAGAGCACACGCGCTCGCTCACACACACACACACACACACAAATACACATCAGTAAAATAAACTCGCACAAACCCACACCCGCACAAAGAAACACAATCACACACTCGCAGAATAAACTATCGCACACACAAACAAAACAAACAAAATACACAATCACACACGCAGACACAAACAAAATACACAATAATGCACATGTAGAAACAAACAAAAAACAATCACAGAATACAGAATCAAACCCCCCAAAAAATCACATACACAGAATCAAACAAAAAAACAATCACACACAAGCAAAATCAAACAAAAAAAGTAATCACATACACGCACAATCAAATAAACGCAATCAAACGGGCCGAAACACACAATCCAAAAAGAGATGTGTCCTTTGGAAGAGGCGAGGGTGCGGGGCGGGGCAGGGCGCGCCACTGACCTGCGTAGACGACGATGCCCTCGACGAAGTCGGTGTTCTTGAGCACGCACTCGCGCAGCAGCAGGTTCTCCGTGCCCACGGGCACGCGCCGGCCCGCGGGGTGCACCAGCGCGCCGTGGAAGCGGTAGATCTTGGTGGTGGGCGTGTCCACCTCCACCACCGACCGGAAGCGGCTCGGGTGGAACACCTCTTGCTGCAACACCCCACCCCCCGTCTCAACTACAAACTCAACATTGCTGCTCTGCTCAAGTAACCATCTGAGAGAAAAAGATGTTGTCTAATATCAATACTTCTAATTCTTAAGATCTTTTCGATTGCGTAGCGTTCATCAGAGCTTATCTGACAATATGTACAGAAATACAAATAAAAGTATGAAATTTATATAGATCTGTATTGAATGTATGAAATTGAAAAGCACCACAACAAATTAATGCAAATTGTACAGGCAGTGAGATGCAATGCCCAACAATAATTTATTTTTAATCCAATACAGAATAAAATCGTTCTTTATATTCTCAATGTGCCAACACAAACGATAGATTACATACTCAATGAATGTTTGCAGAGCAGAAGATTGGAACTGACTGGCTTCTCATTACAAATATTTTAAAAAAAGGAGTAAAGGACTTTTCCAAATCTCATTTATTTATTTTCACAAAAGTGAAATATGTAGCGAACACTACCATTTTTGTTCGAGAACATTGTGGCACTAGTTTGTTGAAGAGATTTCAACGGGAGTATTACCTACTTTTATTGCTACGTAATGTGCGCTAAAGAAGGCACTAATCGTTAATATTACAAATTCAGAACCCCTTGAATCTTCAATCCTTCGAATCCATCAAGACATGAATATATCAACAAATTTAGACAATAATTAATAAATAAATTTAAAAAAAGAACACGGCACAACCAAATGTCGAGCTCTGGAATGCATTTTATGGCAGCAAACCGACATTTCGTATGATCTTTTCCCCATTTTACAACCAAGTTAAGCCAAAGTGAGTAAGAGGCGCACCTTCTCGACGAATCCGCGCGCGACGCAGCGCTGCTTGAGGCTGGTCTCGCCGTCCAGGTTGCACGTGTCCAGGTAGCAGAGGCCGTGCGGGTCGCTGGAGCGCAGGAGCAGCACGTCGGCCGGCACCAGCTCGTTGTTGGACAGGTGCACCACGTCCCCCACGCGCACGTCCTTCCACAGCACGCGCTGGTAGCGCTCCGCCTCCCTGCGGCACGCGCAACCAACCGGGCCCTTTAGTCCGGGAGCGAGCGGGGGATAGCGGTCGGGTTAGACATACTTCATTTATTGCTTTCTCGTAAACGCATGTATTATATTATGTACATAGTACAGGGAAAGTTATGTAATGATGCTAAGTAATGTACATAGTTGTGCTACATTTAAAAAAAGTGATTTTTCGGGGAACAAAACTCGTATTGTAGGATCTGTTACAGAAAAACTGGATAAATCTGGTTCCAATATACAGTAAATTACTTCCTCTAACAAGTTGTACAATTAGAATCCACTATTTGTGGGTCCTTGATAACTAAAACGGGTTTACGGCAAAACATACGTCCATGTACAACACAAGCGCCACTGAGAGAACCAAAACTGCTATAAGTAAGCTGTGTTAATAATAAACTATAGCATTCCTTCTTAAGATCTACTTGTGATTTTTGTAAAAATATCTCTCTCGCACCGTAGAGGGTGTTGTTGAAGGGTTGCTTCTTTGCATAATGCTAAATTTGTATTGCAAAAATCACAAATAAATCTTAGGAAGGATTGACATAGTTTATTAACACTCCAGAAGACGATGAAAAGTGCTCGTGGAAACGTTGACAGATAGTAATGCTTCAAAAAGTTTAACTAACAAAATTGAACAAATCCAAATTATTAACTCTTTGGTCTTCAAACGTATAATATATGACTGTCCAAAGTAGAACTGGTCAAAGAAATCTAATTAACACCAAAACACATTCAGGAGATGGGGGAAGATACTGAATTATAACCTTTATTTGCGATTAGCCACAAAGGGCGTGCATTTTAAATGCCCCGCACTCGAGATAGTTTATTTTTCCCTAAAAACGGCCGACTGCATTACAAAAAAGAATCAATTTGCTGAGGAAAACACGAACTATTTCAAGAATGGCTATAAGAGCGTGGCACCTCCCCGGATGGATGAAGCGGGCCCTACACCACGCTCTACAATTATCGTTCTTCGAAGAGACTGTTTCATGCTTGCATGAATAAGGAATAAGAAAAGAGAGATAATTCTCTCAGAACACAGGTGTCACGGATATTTTCTTCAAATACTCCATGTTGAAAAGCAGATTCTGTCAACAATGTGTACTGACAGCCTTAATGTTGTCATTTCAGAATCATCCCTTGCACGAAAAACAGGAAGACGCTTTAAAAGTCTTTTGTCCAATTTTCCGGCTCTCCCGCAAGCAGCCTTATCGACGCTTAACAAAATTAATAAAATTAATAATTAATAAAATATCAAGTCTGCTGGAAACTACACCTATTGCCCCTTCCATACAAAAACTTGCGTTGCGCCATGAGTGATGTTACTAAGTTTCCTTATCACGAATAAACTTAAAGATAAGGATAACACAATTACATGGCCACGGTCTGGTATGCTATACACCTTCGCGTCGTCCACTGTTGGCTGACCCTTGATTGAGAGCTGAAAGGTTGATAGTGTGTGACATATTAACGTTTCTGGAACGACTGGCGTGCGCGTTCGGTTGCCTACCCTTCAGGCGCCCACCATTTTAAGCTATATTTTTACCTGTCTTTTACGATTCTTAATATGTAGGTCCTCAATATTTTTTTGATATAATATCAACGCCATACATTAAGTAGAGAGAGGGCTAGCTTTATTGATGGTGCATGCCTAGGTGACCGACGGCACTTTAATTTATCTCAAGGGGAAAGGACTACAAAGCGTTGCGTACTGAGTGAGGCAACCCGCAACACATTGCTTTATTTCTAATTTTGCCCGTGTTGTATGGTGACATTAACAATTAATTAGTTCTTGAAAAAGTAAGAACATTGATGCAAGCAGTCAGATAACATCAAGTAATATTACTGGATACAAAGATAACAACTAAACACCCAATTTCGCATACATTCACACGAACTACGAATTTCACATACTATAATCGTTCACGCAGCATTTTCAGAGCGTTCACAGAGCATTTCCCCTAAATGACGCTGAGTTGAGGAGACTTCATAAAAACGCAGGGTGGGAAGTGCAGGACCAAAAAGAGAGGAAGCAGATCGGAGAGGGGCGCGACATGGAAATAATGTTGGTGTATCTAATGCAACATTCCAAGTAAGAAGAATAATCGTTTACTCCACATTCAAAATAACAAGAATGATGAAAAAATTAGAAATTAGCTCATAATCTCTAAGGAATAAGTATATTCGTCTTTTCAATTAAGATAATTTCGTACATCATTTGTGATTTATTTCATACTTATAATGAATCCTACTAGCAATGATTATTCTTTCTTACTTGCAATGCTATTTTAAAATTATTTAGAAACCACGAACAATAATTACATTTAATGCATTTCTATTTCAGAAATGTTGCATGCTTTCAAGTAGTACACCATTATCGATAAATAAAGATGATTGCAAAATTACGCAATATTTATATTTGTTCATTGTAGTTTTGTAATAGCATACAGGAAACACAAACGCAGTTTAGAATTCAAAATAATAAAAGGTAGAAGAATGTTTCTTTCAAAATGTATAATTAAAAATAACATTTTGTTTATATACTGGTGTAGTAGAAAACATCATCGAACCATTTTACCCAGAAAGTCTAATAGCTATTTTGAAGTAAAAAAAAAATTGGTTTTGAGAACCACAGGACCTCAAATTCAATGTGGTTTTTTGAAAATTAAAAAACATCAATATTCGGAGCCCCACTTTTCACCATAATTACAATAACAATACATATTAATATCTTGAAATAGTTAACGCAACCTAATTAATACTGCATCAAGAATCCTCTTCAAGTACTACTGAACTGTCAGATGACCGATAAGGTCCGAAGTCACTTCATATTTGCTTGCTGATTTATCGTGTCAGGAGGGCTATCCAGTTTGACTGATAGCACTCGGCGGTTTCTTTTATTTTATCACATCACTACTCGTCATTGAGTTTATATTTAATATTCTGATTTCTTCATTTCAAGTACAGGTTTATTTGGGGAATTGTAATTGTCGACTTTCGCAGTGAACAATTTTTTCAAATGAACTTTAACTTATTAATTTATAATAGAACGTAGGTAATAAATCAGTTATATGATAACATTTTTAACGTGAAAGATTTTTCTAGGGAACAAAACTCAATGAACGCAATGTGGAATTCGTGGTCATCTTTTTATGAGGGATCTCACACGTATGTTGCAAAAGCAAGTGCTTTACAGACACAGCGCAACTTTGTACGAAACACTTGAGTTTTCTATCAGCGGAGTTCACCCAACATACCAGATTTAAGATTAACCATACGCTCAGGTGACAAAGATACAATGAAATAAAAAGGAGAAAGCGTAGACTGCGAAATCTGAAACTAGGATCACGTTCAGTGCACGCAACGTTGCACCTATCACTCGAAGTAATCTCTGTTAATATGAACACTTGAATGAATTGTATAAAACCCCAGCGGCGATGTTCCTACTATTCTAGACTTGCAATAATTACGGATTAATATCTACAACATTTATTTTTGAACAACTCTGTGAACACTATTCAAAATTCCATTAATTTGGTGCACATTCTTTTCCATTCATTTGGTCCACATTTTTTTCATGCAAAGAAGAGTCAATGTAGAAGTTTGCTAGATTGATGGTTTCATATTTCGCCTCCAAAAACTGTAAATTATTATCTCTCAGCTTCCACATTGTTCCTAATTCCGTCCAAGGAATGGATGTAGGTCTCACCGAAGGAACGAAATTAGACGTACAGTAGTTTAGTAAATAAAATTCGCAGGGACAACGCAACATTAGGTCAACTTCAACGATACAATCTTACACACATTTTGAGAGAAATATTACGAAAAACAAGACATACCGGTATCTTGCATATTGCAATCATACTTTTTGAGTTTTGAAAAATTAATTATTTTTCACTCAAAAGAACAAAACAAAATTCGTTGGCTTTTATTGGCGGCTGCAGAGGCAACACTGTTTTCAGTCCACAACTCAAGAGTAAACAACGGTTTTGCGAGTACACTGCCAATCCATAATATTTAAGAGAGACAGGACGGAATTAATATCGAGGACGATATATCGGTACTTTACCCTATGTATATAACATTTAAATTTAAAACAAAGATATTTAAATAAAACTATATCAAAATGCGTTTCGACTGTAGCTACAACTAAGCGCAAATACATGTAACTTACGTCCATGTCTGAGCGTCTGACGCCTGCCTGAATCTTACGATTTTTAAATTAACATTGGTGCTTTAACTGATGACAATCTAATGGTTTAAGCTGTAGGGGAACATCTTAGATTGAGTAACATGGGAAAAAATAGCCTCCTGTTCGATACAATTTCATTCACTATTGCAAAAAATGGCAATGCAGGCAATATCTGAAGAGGCAATGCCATGTTACGCAAGAACTGATCTAATCACAAGCTGTTCAAAAATCTGAAGATGATCAGAAGCAAGAGCAAAATTAAGAATGGAACGAAATTAATAACTGCGCACTAAAAACCATAAAAGAACTAAAGGATATGCAAATCAATTTCCAGTTAAATATAGATGGAAAGAGCAGGTTCATTTTGTTGGTGCCGGACGACCGTGCCAAATTCCCTTATAGTCATCCCATTACCAAAAAAGTTAAAATAGACAGTTGTATGCCCAACAAATGATTTTGTAAGAGGAAAATCTTCGAGAAGAAATATGAATTCCATCTGTCATGCATTTCTAACTGGTGTCGCTAATAATCCTACAACGTTTATGCGACTTCATAAACATAAGTATTCCCTCTTTCCTTGTCACTTTCTGCTCAATAAAGAGCGTCTCCTACATATTTACACCAGTAATTTCTGGCTAATATGATGAAATAAATGCGCCATACATGGCCGCTCTCGGATTCTTACAGATCATTATAACACACGGTGCAAACTGATCAGAAATCGCGTTGCGCAGCCCGCTCTTTGCACTTGGTCTCGTGGGTGGGGGGCGGGCGGAGGGAGGGGGCGCGCG